TTTAATATTTTTTCAAGATATTATTATGTATAACAGAGGTTATTCTACAAATACTAAATATATAATTTGTTTTGAAATCAGATTCCACATTTTGCAGATTTTCGGTACTCTCATTTTCCATATTTACCTAGTGTGTAGACAATGGGCAAAGAAAGATAACTCTGACTTGTAAGTGAGAATAGAACTTTCGAGATAAAGGCGGAAATTGTATCGATGACGTCAGAGACATATACACTCTCCATATCAAAATATTTAGACGTTCTATATTCACTCTTCAAAATTTAAGAGTACGTTGGTTACCGCTTCCAGTGCATGTAAAGTTTGAAGTTGCCAGTGTAGTGTAAGTCTGTATTGACAGTTAATTGATTTACACATGAATATATCTAAAAAAAATTAATATATATGCTAGGTAGCTAATTCAAGTAAATATATTATAAGCACTGAATATACATTTATAGTGATGGACAGGCATGCAGTTTTATCTATTTCGTATATTAAGTTCAGAATACGACAGTTATAAGCCTTCTATAATGCAGACGATTTATTATTCTCTATGATTTGAATGCGAAATTATCCCGATTTCCGAGTTTTACTTTCGATATTAAAAAATATTACATACACTCAAAAAAGGAATTAAGCGATAGAAAATTGTAATACAGTACTGTTTTAAAGCCTTTATAAATAAATTGATATCTGCCACTGAAAAGAAGAAAATCAATCTATAGATTAGATTTGGTTATTACATGTATATTTGATAAAGGTTAAATTATTTATGACACATGATCTATACTCTATATACCCAAGGAATTATAAAAGATGTGAAAAGGCGATTCTTGGATTCTTGTGAAATACTCAAAGAGTTAAAAAAAAAAAATATGTGAAAACGCGATTCTGTGTGAAATAATGCTACGCTGAATGTTTCTTTTGAAAAAAAAAAAAAAAAAAAAAAAAACATAAAAAAAAAAATGCACAGGTCTGTGGATATGTACACGTGGGATAAGTATACCTGAATGAGCACAATAATATATAATTATGTACATGCAACTGACGTCCGTACTTTTCTCTATAATTCATAAAACATAACACTATCTAATTCCTTTGACCCCCCCCCCCCGTCTTGATTAATATTTGGAGACGTTCGTGCAGCTTGGCATTTGAATTATATATTCGTTTTAGATTTAAATATGGAACATGTGGTTATAATAAACATTTACATGTATACAGAATTTCGTATTCTATAATGGTACATTTGTCATTATGTCTACATATCTGAGAGAGAGAGAGGAAGAGAGAGAGATTCCCTCTTAATCCCGATCCTCCTATCCATT